TCGATTCTTGAACTGAGAAGAATGAGAATTTGCTTTCCTCCTATTTACCGCAAAGAGAGTTCGGTGGTCATAACCAATGCGGGTGCAAGGGGATTTGTCGCGCTTTCTTCCATAAGCGTTAGGCTTCTTATAGTGTTTTTATTCAATGGTAAAACTGAATTGCTCTGTGAGATTCACTCACCTATTTTCCAAAAGAACACAGACACTTAATCAAGCATAATAAGATTTATTATTCAATGGTAGAACGAAACATATTTTCAAATGTTTAAAAACAACCCAAAAATAATATCATATTATCAATAATCGCCTTTCAGGTAATAAATTGCGTGAACGGTGTTATACGGTCATACGGATGAATGACGTTATGCCGTCTGGGGTTTAGCGATTAAGTAAGAAATCGACGGTCACACTCGATAAAAATTATTTTTAAAAAAACTTCCGTCTTACAGTAGATTGTGTCTAAATTTCCACAATTCAACTGGCTATTTGCAATAAACATAAACCATGTGCAATGTGTTTTAATTTGGGGTTCAGTATCATTTCAGAATGAGGAATACGATAGACGAGGTATCCCACGTGCATAAAAATAGTCAATTAAAAAATCGACAACGGTCCCTATTTCCGAAACTTACTGCAGCATCCATTAGTGGGACTTTTGGAAAAGTCTATAATGGAACTGGTAATTCTGTCCAACGCAAGTGTGAAATACATTTAATGGGAGCTGATATTTGTACATTTAATTCTACAACATTTGGATCAAACAGTACACAATTCAGGTCCCCATTATACGTTTACGTAGTGTTGGAAATATGATGTTATGTTTTACTAGTTTTATTGAAAAATTTGTGTTCACTATCAATGAGAATGACCACCCGACTGAGATAATTATTCATAAACAGGTGTTTCTTTGAATGAACCGATAAAACACGTATTCTTATAAGATAATCGTACAAACCGATGTAAAGTTTTGGACTGCGTGAATCTTTTTTTGGCATTAACTAGAAAAATGAACGCTTAGGGCGGTTTTGCATCCTAAAAATTACGAAATCTATGCATATCATAAATGATTTAAACGTATAACTTTTAGCTTACTTATAATAGGTACGTTAGATTGGATTTGTGGCGACAATTTATGACTCCACGAACAGTTTTTGTTTCAACTTAGATAATTGTTAAAGAAAAAAACTTACCCCGATTTTTGGGGGCGGTTTAGACCAGGAAAACTGAGAGCAAAAATGCACGACGCACATTACAACATATTCCATAAGGTACTAACTTGCGCAGAATCGGTTGGCTTATCGCATAAGCCGCTCAGGTGCAGGCAAATACAATACGTTCAAATATTTTATAAATGACCAAATGTTAGTTGCAACGTTCGATAAAGATAAGGAACCTATTTAAAATATTGAATTCCTTTTTCGGATATTTGATATAATTACCACCATAAACTAGGTCTGCTTACAAAGTTAATTACCACTATTTAAAGGATGATTTGTGCACACTTTAATATTAACCACAGTATTTGCTACAAGTTCACATATAAAGTAAAAGCGACGGGATTTGAAAAAGAATTTAAAAAAATTAAAACGTACCGAAATAACTTTGTTGGGGGTTTTGGTGAAGAAAGTGAATTACAACTATTTACTTAAGGGTTGATACGTGCACAATTAAGAACGAACAACCCTAATTTAGACTTTCCATTGCCTTTACCTTATAAACGGCGAAAATTATTTGCATAATAATGAAGCTATGTAAACAAATTTTCCTGATTCTTTAATATAAGGGATGCAGCCCGGTTTAAATGAGCCACCCTGAATAACTCAGTTGATATTCAGACTAACAAAATAGCGAAATACGTCAATTTTGGTTTTCCAAGTATCAAGTATCAAGGGAGACACATCTCAACCGAGATCTCAACGTAAAAATCAACCTTTTGCCACGCATTCCCTCCCGAAAACTACCCTCATGTCAAAAATAATAAACGAAAATAAGTCGAGTGACACCTTATTGGTAAGATCTTTTAAGTCTGTATCCAACCCTGTAACATTTGATATTCCAACGATAAGCCATGTCAGGAAAAAATAAAATCCTCTTTTTTTCAATTCCAAACTCGACGTCGAACTATACATCTGGGTTGCTATGGCGAAGGGGTGGTTGACAAGGGGTTGATTTTTACGTAGAAATGTGTACCCCTCAAAACTAAATTTCAGGTTTTTTTACAGTCGTAATATCAAGTGACCCGTTGGCACTACGTATTTAATATCAGCATCGATATTTGATTGGCTTCATGATTCAGGTCATAAAGTTTACTACAGGAAAAACCACTAAGATTGGAAACTTTTTGAAATGAAGCATAATTGAAAAAAAAACTTTATTAGCGAACTGAATACTACGGGGCGCTAAGTAGAGATTTAATCAGAATATTTTAAGAATGTCTATTTACCCACCATGCCGAAAAAGGGCAGAATAAAATTGTACGCAATTACCGCCGGCATGTTTCTAAAATATTTTTGATCACCAGGGGCGTGTTGTATTCCAGTCGTGCATAATTTTTAGACTGAGGCACAGGTTAATACCTCTTCCACAGTCACATAATTTGTTTAGGTATACTTTTCGAAAAATACAGGGTGTAGCACCTAAGACCCCTAGGATCATAATTCGTTTGAGCAAAATTATACGCAATTACCGCCGGCATATTTCTAAAATATTTTTGAACACCAGGGGCGTGCTGTATTACAGTGGCGTATTACACTTGCATTTTTTTAAACGGTACACCCCTTATTTTATTACTGATTTGGAGAGTACTTGAAAAGTACTTATTTTTTTATGTCACATGTTATACCTCTGACTTGAACGTCGCTGTTATAACTTTCTTTTCCTAACCCAAGTGTGCCACGATGAAACGAAAGATGTTCAATTCTCACAATTAACAGTACAGTGCGACAGTGTATGATTGTTTTTAATGAGCGTTGCGAAAATGTTCCAAACTTAAGCAGAACTTGTGGTGGTGTTTATTCTTGGAGACTGTTACAAAGCATAACAGATATAGGTATAGAGAATGTATGTAATAAGTGATCGATATAGAATTTGTTTCAACATTTGATAGTGCAAAAAAATAAAGCAGGTTTCATTTGAAAAATCAACTTTTTTAAGATTTGAAGTTATTAAAATTGACCATTAGTTTTAAAATACCTGATCCCACGATCAAAATTTAAATCATTCTCATGTAGCATCAAGTCCGAAGTGTTGATTTTCAAAGACTCTTTGAAATTCCAGTCAACGGAGTCGTAGGTACAGGGCCCTAAAGAAACGCAGTAAACGGAAAAATTTTGAATAACTTGAAAACATTTAATTTAATTAATAATAGGGAAATGTGGTATCAAACGAAGTAGACTTTCATGTAGATTTCGAAAACGCAATAAAATCCAGGGTGTTCTATTGAAAATAAGAAAGTTCCTATCCACATTCGGCAAAACCGGAAGTGAAACGATCGTGATAAGGGTTCGAGAAGAATAACTGTGATTGGTAGAAATTAATTCCTTTCGTTGAGGCCTTTCAGTAGAGTACCGTGAAATCAGTTCTCCCTCAAA